CTCCCCGTATGCCGTTCATCAAACTAAAGTGTGTAAAAAATAATTATGAACATTGGGACTGCTGATTTACGTTTCATGAATTGCGTCGGGTTTTTCTACGCCACACATTTCTCTATGCTTTTCAGCTGTTAATTATGCAACCTGTAGATGAAGGAGTAGATCATATTTCGCAAGGCTTCATGGATGAGGTAACCTTTTTCTACACAAATTGACCGCCAGGATATGGGTTATTCTTTGACACCGGAACAAATGCCCGAGTTGCATGCANNTGCAGAGTTCCGGCGAAGTAAGGTTTTGATTCTCAGATCACTGATTACTAATTCATTTTAGCGTTTGGCTACGATCCATTCGATGATGACGATTTGGATTGATTCCTCTTTAAATATCTGAATAAAACACTTGGGCATTGATCCTTATTATTGGCTTGTTTAATTTCCCTATCGTCTTTTGGTATGTTGTGGTATAATGTATGCTTGTATCCTTTTGAAGCTGCTGTTGGTTCGGGTTCTCTTGTTCGAACAATGATCGGGAGGCAATTCTCCTTTGAGGATAGACAATCGGAAGCACGCGATGTGATAGCAGGAGCCATCCCTCTTTATCCGCTTGATCACCAAAAGAGGCACGAAATTGACAGGCCTTATGGATTTAATATTCTCTCATGTACGGTATACCGGTCATGACCCCTCCAAGGCCAACAAAGCTCGAGGTGTAATCTTTTATTCAACCTCTAAAACATGAAAGTATTGAGACCTGACGGGCTTTCACCTACCTTTTAAAGATGACGTTGTTACTACTTTATTGCTCATCTGGTCAGACGAGTTTAGCCCATCATCCTGAAGTGAATCATGAATCGATCACCGGTACGCTGATCAACTTTTTACTCTTCAGGTGTTCGAGCTACGCCACACCATCGGCTAATCGTCACAGTATTCCTTGACCCCAGGGTAGCGGTTAGTTCAGTCGATCTTGATGTCTGATTCAATCCGCTTCTTCGCAGAGAATTGCCAAAAGAGGTATGCTTACTTACTAGTGGATCAACTGGACAATTAATGCCGAGGTAAGGTGCCCAGCCTTTGGTGATCAAGGTTTTCCACTGGATCAAACGCTCGACCATAGATTACTTTGACTGAGACAAGGACAACTCAGACTTGGCATCAGGGTATGAAAACCGTGACCAGAATACTTGCTCACATAGGCCGCGTTAGGTTTCCTGGATGGTGACATTGGTATCATTGTAATCGATGGTTGGAGATACGGAGTAATAGGACTGTCGTAAACAGTAGCGTTTGAGCATCTCATTATCCCTGCAACCTTAGCCTCCATTAATTTTCTGTTTTCACGCTGACTGATTTGAACATTCCAATCTTCTCTTCACTCCTTCATCCGAATGGAAAGTCTTGAGACGGCAACCAAAATTGGCGCACAAAATTGCATAGTTAATTGTAAAAACGGAAACTAAACTTTACACCCGTCACCAAATAGACTGCCACAGAGTACAACGTTTGTTCAAGCTGATAAGGAATGGAAAGATCTCATAGGCGGTCAAACTGGCAGTTGAGTATGGAAGCCCTGATTAACCAGGAGACTTGGATGTGTAGGTCGCGTTAGGATTCTCGGTTGGAGACCTTGGATCAGCGTAATTAATAGTCACAGGCACTGAGTGATGTGATTGCGTGTCATCAACAGCGGCAGTCGACTCAAGTCAGTAAGTTGCTTTTTTACACTACCCGGTGCAAATTCAGCTGTCAAATACCCCACAGAATTGCAGATATGGATAAATGTATGAAGTTTGCGAAATTAACTCAAGGCTGTAAACAAATCATGCAAAATACGGTCCGGGTGGCACAAAAATCTAACAAGATAAAGAACAATGGGAGAGTAATACGCTTTTGTGTGGGTGCTGAAGCGTATTTGTACATGGCGAGCGAGCAATCCGGTATTGCATGCTGAGAAATACAGCGGTTGGAGATTGTGGACAGGATTGATGCCAGAGCGTTGGCGCATTCCCTGAATACCACGCCTGACCTATCGGGACCTTATGTGGTTCACCACTCCATGTTCCGGGGCTTAGATTACCGGTTTACATCACTAAACAGCAGGTCTTCGTGACTATGGGCTTCAACCCGTCTGCTGTTCATCACAAGAAAGTGTGTAATAAAAAAACGATTGGATGTAGTCCGTTTGGTGCGCCGGTTTTGTGAGGGTTCAACCGTTGAAGCTCTTCACAAATTTCTGTTGGGTCAGCCACCCACAGAATAGTGTATGGAATTGGGGTTGGGGGGACCCAAGCCTTTGACCAGACCTTAGGTTAGCCAGTCTGATGAGTTCACGGTTTATGTCTTCTATATATCCACGGATGAAGAGCGCCCTCTGAAAGAAGAACCACAAAACTCTTTAGGCATTCGCCAGGTTTCACGAGGCCCTTTGTTTTAAAGAATCTGTTGACCATCTAAGCAATTTATTCTCGATCTACCTGAATGTGATATTGCTCTCAGCTTTCTACTTCTCAATCCAAATGGGTGATCAAAAGGCAGCAAACAAAACTGCTCCCAGAAAGTCTAAGATTAGTGATTTTTTACAAATTGGAACTGAAAACTATTGTCAATACATGGCCCAAATTTATTACATCGCATTGTGTTTCTAATTGCCACCCTTGGATGTAGATAGTGCTTTTACGAAAGGAACTGAATGAAATAAATTGGAAACCCAACCAACTTGTATTAATTATTTACTCGTCCTTTTTACTGACAAAATCCCGCTCAAGGACCAGAAGGCTCAGTTTTACTTGGCGTCTACTCCTGGACCTTTCAGGACTGGTTAGATCTTTTAGCTTGGCAAAAGCCACATTAATATAACCGAAGTATGATCCAACAATGGGAAGTTACCGTGCAAAAGATTCCACTTTTGTGTGCAACATATGTTCTAATCAAAATAACAGTTTTTTGCGAACAGAGACAAAGGAAGCGATTCACGTTGAACAGATTATCTAAGTAGATTTCCGCATCTCCTGTGGACCCCCTATTGAGGCGTTTAGGTCGTCTGTGCTTAGACTGCCGGTTACCATCACTGAACAGTAGGTCTTCGTGACTATGGGGTCCACCCCGACTGCTGTTCATCACACACCGGTATGTAATAAAAAACAGGTTGGTTCCAGCGCGCGTGATGTCATCCCCGAAATGGAATTGAGGGAATGTGTATTTCCCCGGCATAGCACATTTTTACGTACAACGATTTCAAAATTCCTGGTAACTGAAACCTGTGAGTTAATCTGACAGGTCACAGGTGGGCAACGCTTTCTGTTGAACGACACAGTTGGGTGGAGACAACAAATAAGTCGCAACGCTAGTGATATCTGTAAAAATATTTATCCCCATTAGAGAGAGAGGGAAAGGACCAGGTTACTTTCTATCGGTGAACATGGAATTAAACTGTGACATGCTTCATACGCCGGGACTTGTGGGGAACTCCTTAACTGGAACCTTTGATTAAGAAGGGATAGTAGTCGCACACAGGTGTAGTTCTGCTTGCGAGACAATTTCAGGGTTTGCAACAGGGTCACTTATCCATGTTTGGGGTTCGTGGAATAGTTTTGTTTCTTAGAATTGAGTGTTGATTTTGGTTAGCATTCTAATTCTATTCGCAGCATTGATTCAAAAACAAATTTCCTCCTGAAAAATTTCACGGAACGTCTGTTGGAGTGCGCCTGCTTTACGGTTCCCTCGTGAAATTCAAGCCTCCGTCTATGTTGTGGGGGTTTCGATGGGGTCAGAGGTGTTGATCAGTTCTCACAAAGACAATCCCTTACGCTATTTTGATCAGAGTGGAAATCCGTCGTATACATGGCAAATGAAGCGTGAACTGAGAAACTAGGAAGCACTGGACAGCTGCTTGCTGTACATCAGGTTTGCGTTCTGCCCATAAGGTCCCGGGTTCGATCCCCTGTTGGGCTGATGGATTTGCGCGACTGAGACCCAACCATGTCGAAACAGCTGTCCAATGCTTCCTAGCTTTTCAGTTCACGCTTCATTTGCCGTATTTTATTCAATTAATTGGTCTACATTGATTCCAATCTTCATGCATAATCATCTTTATGCGATATTCGTTCTCGACAGGGCTACATGCAGTTACTTCACATCATTGAATTCTAAATCGTTTTGCTTGTTCTGTTCACTCACGCAGCTAGCTGTCTTTGAACTCTCAATGCTGAGATGACGTTCGGCTGCCTTTCACTTCTCCGCACGGGTTATCAGTCTGGACAACTACACCCCGGAGATGTGTGGCGTTTGTTCCTCTCTCGTGCCCGAGCGGACAAAGAAGCACATGCAACCGGATCTGCTCTATCCAACTTGGGCGTGACACCGACAAATGCGATCCTGAGCATTGTGGACCAATCGCGCGTCTGCATGCATTTGGAACATATCAAACAGCCCGATCGCGCCCGGGGACGAGAGTTGTTTCTCTGGGCCACACCGATTCTCGTGAAAGATAATTTCTGTACGGACTGGACCAAGTGGGGACTGTTGACCACGTGCGCCTCTAGGGCGCTGGAATCGTTTCAGGCTCCATATGATGCATGTGTAGGTAAACACAAACGAGGAATTGATCCTATATGCTGTTCTGTTTGTTACGGTCTGAAAATGTGCATGCTTTTTGTGCGCTCCACAACACAACCGTTCAGCGGCAAACGCCACGTTCACTGTTGGAGCAGTTTCACCCCGCCGGACTGTTTCTCCATGAAACCCAGGTATCAAATTCGCGCACACAGGGACTTCCGTTTGCTGTTCACCATATATTCTTTCACGTAGAAGCGTACGGTAGGTGTAAACTAGAAGCAAGGAGCAATCGGACTAGAGGCCTTACTCATGAAACAATTGGAAGTTCGCTTAAAAAAACAGAAAAAGCAGTTACTATTAAACTGCATCTGTAGCGTTGAGTAGGAAGAAAAATGCATTACAAGGTGGAACCGGCTGTTGTTAGCCCATGACCTATTGCCACCTTATTGTACTCATTGCCGAAAACCTCTTCCTTTTGGTTCGATCATTCATCAAACGTTTTCGTTGTTTAATTACCATTGTTCTTGAAGGATAGGGAGTGATGAGTTAGTGAATATGTGATTTACCATATGATTGCCATGAATAGGAAATCGCGAGAGTCATATAGTATGTGGAGCAAATGTAGTAGTAGTATGAACTTTTTCGTAATTCGTATCCAGAAATTACTTGCCTCACTGATTAGATGCGGAAGAACGAAAACAGTCAGCGGCCTGAGGTGCAGAGCTGCCAGAATCACAGTGGGTCCGATACGTTCCGGAAATGGTGCTTTCCCGAATGCTGACTGCTCATAAAGTAGCAGTATCACATGAACCAGTATCGATTGGCTCTGAACCAGTATCCCCGGTAAGATGTATTTAATACCTAGGTTTTTTTATCGACGATGATCTCCATTGGATGACTTTCTTTCCATATCCGCAAACTTTGTCAGTTTCGTATTCAACAATCGATTATCTCCAAAATCGTTTTACCCTTTCTACTTCGTTGTTCACCTATTGTTTTTTACAATCTCCTAAAGAATGATTTTAAACTGCTTTGACGTGGACTGACTATAATTAGCTGCGTCTCTTCAGTCCCGCTGGAGGAGTTGATAACTAATCTGTGCGAACTTCATTTGAATGCACGCGAAAAGTTTGTACATCAGCTTCTTATCGACCCCATGCATCCACTACACACAGATTTAACTTCCTGTTGTACCCATCCGTCAACTAGATCCCAATATCATTGTGTTTCCTCTCGAGTAATCATATATCGTCCTAACTCTACGGTACCCTCTTCTGCAGGACTCTAGTTAACAAAGAACAGGTTTTAACAGACTTTGGTCACAGTTTTGGATTTAACTTTTTGTATTTTCCTCTTGTCCTCCCTGTCTCTTCAATTTGTACATTTTTAAATGGGATGTGGGCTTTACGCCTACAGAAGTTATAATTACAATGACATGAGATGCATTTTTTACTTAGAAGTAGAACTTACGTCCATTAGTCTTGCTGAATTCTTGTTATTTTCTTTCACACTCTCGCTCATCGATAGTGGATATTTTGGCCCGTGATGGTGCCTACGTTTTTGGCAAAACCAATCTAGACGAATTCGCGATGGGATGCGGTTCTACCGACAGTGCTCTTGCCGGTCCCGTCATCAATCCTTGGTCTTTTCATCAACCCGGGACCGAGAAACCGTTGGTGATTGCCGGTGGTAGCTCTGGTGGAAGTGCGGCCGCAGTCGCTGCTGGCCTGAGCCCGGTGGCTCTCGCTTCCGATACGGGTGGCTCGGCCCGTATCCCCGCAGCCTATTGCGGTGTGGTTGGATTGAAACCCACCTACGGCCTATTCTCTCGGCATGGTTTGATTCCGTTGGCCGATAGTCTTGACGTGCCTGCAGTGATCGCCAATTCCGTGGCTGATGTGTCCGCTGTCCTATTTACCTGGCTTGATCCGGATCTTCAACCGACCACTTCGTTGGATGGAACGTGTGTACCTGTCGAACCCAGTTGGCGAAACAAAACCCGTGCACAGTTGCTTCAGATGGCAAACGAATCCCCCACGTGCCTGGAACCTCCTACACGAATGCGGATTGGTATTCCGCTGGAATATCATGTCCCAGGACTGGATAAAAATGTGGCCAAAGTATGGGATCAGGTGGCTGGTTGGTTAGTGGACGAATTAAAGTACCCGGTACGAGTGGTTCGAATGCCGCACACACCGATGGCTACTAGTGTCTACTCGGTGTTATGTGCAGCTGAAGTGGCTTCGAATATGGCCAGGTAAACAGCGATCTGTATGAGCAGCTTGTAATCCGTCTTCGTAGTTCATTCTATTGCTTGGACCAGGCTGTTACACTTGCACATTTTCGTAGTATTTTGCACTACTTTTTCACACGTGTGTGTAGATTTTGAACATCCACCCGAAATTGCAGTTTCCCAAGGCTGTTTTCTAGTGTTGTGCTTGCAAAGTATCATGTCTCAGGTTGGCATTTGCCAACTTGATACATTTGTGGAGCCATCGCGACATCCGGTCGCCTGTGAGGGGTCGAGTCTATGTGCTGCAGCAGTTCGGCCAGTCCTGCTCTACGGTGCAGAGATTTGGCTACTACAGAAACAGGATAACAATAGACTGTCGGTGTTTGAAAACCGCTGCCTACATAGCACTGCACAAGTCTCGTGGGGAAACCGGACGAGCAATGACGAGGTTCGGCGTAGAGTTTTAGGTAATCGCGGTCGTCCACTGGAGCAGGTAGTCAACCTCCATAGACTACGTTTGTTGGAGCATGTGCTACGCATGCCACCAGATGTATATATTTCACACTTGTCTGAGGACAGACTGTGTGCCAAACAAATCATGGTACAACAATCTTTATAAAAGAAAAAT